TCCCTTCAGTGTATGCCTGCCAAGAGAATCCCCCGTGCATGGGAACGGGAACCATTTTCTTCCGCGCAACTTGGGCTCCAACCTATGAGGAAATATTCTTATAAATGTTAAAATCTGAATAAAACCGTAAACCGGAATAAAACTGATTTCAAGTTCATCAAATCTTTTATTCTCACCCTTGCAGTGTTATACACAGTGTTCCTGCAGTCAGGAAGAATGCTGATAGACCAAGGAGGTAGGTTGTAGTGCTTGTTCTGAAAGGAAACTGTTGCATAAGCTCTCGGGTTGTAATTTGCAAGGAAGGCAGCACAACCTCCAGCCTTAAATTTGAATACATGAGCCTGCATGTTTCAAATGGCATTTATAGTACGTTACACCTACAAACGAATTCAGAGTAGGATTAAGGTTCTTCGAAATACGAGTCATATTGAACCTCTTGAAAGTTTCCAAGTCGTATCACGGTCGGATCTCCATTTACTAAAGCTTGTTCACAAAGCTTTATAGCTCTATGCAAATCTTTCAAATGGCCCCACTTGGGTTGCCTCTTTAGTCCTGCATTAAGAGAAGTGTTTCTCCTTCAAAACAATCTCAAGGAACTAAGCCTAACGATTTACTAACAAAACTCCATATGAATTCTAGAAAGCATAGAACAGATAGCCAATGGAAACGAGATGATGCATAGCCAACTTAAAAAATGCACCATTAACACTTTTTGCATACCGTATTCATCAAGAGGAGCATCATAATCATAGCTAGTAGCAATAAAAGGACCCCCCGCAGTTCGGCCAAAATTTGTTCCTCCATGATACTGATAACACAAAAAGCAGCTTATAAGACTCACTCTTCCGGTGATTGAACTTGGTAAATGGGGAAAAAATTTGTTACCATATAATAATTAATGAACGATCCTCCTTTTTGTATAAACCTTGCAACTGAAAATGCCAAGTCCTCAGCAGGTCTGTAAGGAACTGCCCCTCCAAACTCCGTATACCTACACCGTAAAATAAAAAGAAATCAGATAGGAGACATTTTCAACATTAAATTGCATGGACGAACCACAGAAGATAATCTCTCGGAAAGGCAGACTTGAGCTTACCAGCCTGTCCAGGCTTCAGTCCACATCTTTGGTTTGTATGCCTTGTTAGGAGAAAAGTAATCACAGTAGAAACCATTGCAGGTGTTTATCTGTTGGAAGAAAACAAAAGTTGATCAAATGAACACCTCACCATGCACGGAATACATGATAAGACCACCTTATTCTGGTAACCAAAAAGTTCGATCAAACATCTATTCCTCATGCTTCGACGCAATTGGATATCAACTTAGAAATACCCTACTGCTTTGACATCTCGAAGCATTGAAAAATGATGTATTTTTCACCAACACCACAGCCTATGTATGCTCAAATGTGTGCAATAATAATCGGTGAACGGAACACAGCCATCAATATATGACTACGAAAACCGAAAGTCCAAAAAGAATAAATAATGACACTTTAACAGACAGGATTATGAAAGAGAAAAGTTGAGCCATGTGCAATGAGAGATGATAATTCATTTCAACCATGACCAACAAGTAAACAACACACTGGTCACTAGCAACCCCACTAAAGAAGATTGAACATAGTATGATATCCATTAAGACTGAACACGGAATATGACAAGAAAATGTTTTAAAAAAGATAAAATGTACAGCATACTTACAATAGGGTCCGGTGCATCATCTTGCTTGCACATGACCCAGGGGACACCAGTACCTAGTCCCAAAGCCATTTTAGCTGCCCAATAACTATAAGCTTTACCAGGTGCACCGAGTTCGTATTCCATGGGCCCATATTCATTCTCAATCTGTCAAAAGCAAACATTATAAAGGGCAATATTTCTTAGTTCATCATTGTATTCCAATGGACTGACAATTAAACCAAGAGTAGTTTCCAGATCAAAGATTTTCTCCCAATTTGCCTACCTGAGATAGAATAATAGGACCCCCTTGAGACTCAAACAACCTTTCAGCTTTCATAATATCCACAATCTTTTTTGTGAATCTTTGCATTTGAGCCTTCAACGTAGCAATTTAGTAAGTAAATTAAAAGATTCAGTTAGAAATTAAATAAAAAAAATACATTGGAACTCTGGATGAAGGGATGGAAATTGGCTAACCTTGAAAGGTCCATTGTTCGTTCTGAAACTGATACCGGGAACATACTTCAGCCAAACAGGAAAACCCCTGAAATAAATAAATAAATAAAAGTCATTGCTTGAACTGCACTTTATCTTGAAATTCTTTATATTTATTTTTAAAAAATGATATTTTTAGCATCACCCAAAGTTCCACTCAGCACAGACATAAGGACCAATCCTCAGATGAACATAGAGGCCTGCTTGTTTCACCAGCTTAATAAATTTGACCAAATCATAGTTGCCTCCGAAGTAATACTACAATAACCAAAATTAGAAGAAAATTCAGAATTTTTTTATTTCATTACCAAAAACAAAAGCTTTAAAACATTTAAAAAAGTGTTTTTACTCATTACATTGCCAGGTGCAGGTTCATGGCCATTCCAAAAAACATATGTCTGAATCACATCTAGCCCTCCTTCTTTAGCCTTCTGTATAAGATCTGGCCACATCTGCCAAAAAAACATAATAGATTAACAGAATAATACTCAGGCATGCAAATGTGCATACAGAAAGGAGGAAACTTTAAAGGCATCCAGATGATGAAACTTTAAATGCAAGAAGTACATTTTGGAGAAAATAAAAAATAAAAGGAGTTTACCTCAGGAGAGCTTCTCGGGTAGTGAATGGATCCAGAAAGAAGGATCCTTCTTTGGCCATTAATGGTGATAGCTTTATGATCATAGGAAACGGTAGCAGAAACTGAACAAATCCAGGAAGATAAAAGAACAACCAATAAAGCATTCAGCATCACAGGAAGCTTGGAGTTGGAATCCATGGCCATGGCCAAAAAAGAATAGAACTTTAAAAAATGATCAAATGACACTCCTGTTTACACACAAAAGCAATACCCCTTTTTTCCTGATTCTTTTTCTTGTACACTTTATTCTCGAAAAAAAAAAAGCTGAAAAACCTAACACACTACTACAAATGTGTCGCTACTAGCTCTTTTTACTTTGCCAGAAGAAAAATGAAAAAGGTTTGATTTTTTTTGCACAGAGTGAAGGTGGTTTGCAGCTGCATTTAAACACTGAAGAACCGGGGATTGAAAATGAAATGTGGGGACCCTTTTGGGGCCTCTCTCTCTCTCTCAGTGGCTTCACTTTTTGTAAACTCGACGCAGGAAGCATCGTTTGCATTCCATTGAAGGCCTTAAAAAATTCTTCTTTTCCCTCTTATTTATCTCACCCTCCATTTTCTTTTCATAGTATTAAAAAAATGTGGTAAAGGTAAAGATGTGTTTGGCTGTACGTGTAAAACAAAAACCTGCTATCGTTTCCTTCTACACCATTTTCTTTTTAAAACACAAAGATTCTTTACACAATCCCGATGATAGTGGGTTCTTAATTGATGGAATTATGGAAGCTTATCTTCTGTTGTTTTCTTTCACCTCATTTCCACTCGACGTCATCGCGCGTGGGAAATTACAAGTTGTGTGAAATACAGGGTGAGGGTGAGGGTGAGGGTGAGGGTAAGGGTAAGGGTAAGGGTAAGGGTAAGGGTAAGGGCAGGCAGATGTCACTATAGACTATAGTTAGAGCCTAGGGGTGAGCAATTGATTTTTTAAATTAATTTTAAAAAATAAATTAATTTATTTTTAGGGTAAAATACATGTTTAGTTATAGACTATAGTTAGAGCCTAGGGGTGAGCAATTGATTTTTTAAATTAATTTATTTTTAGGATAAAATACATGTTTAGTATCTCAACTATTATTTTGTTTTATTTTGATTATCCAACTATTTTTTTCAAAAACATACCTAATGGTATGTTTTTATTTCATTTTGGTCACATATTATTAAAAAATTAATAGAATTACTGATGTGATATTTTTAATTTTCAATGACAAAATAGTATTATCTTATGGTGACACGTCAACATTATCGTTTACTTTACAACGGTAAGTGATCAAAATAAAACTAAAACAAAATATCATGTATGATTTTGAAGACAAATGATAGTTAGATGATCAAATAAAACAAAAGTGACAATTAAGATACTAAACATATAAATTATCCTCTCTTTTTTATCGAAATTGATCTCATCAAAGTGTTGTAATTTTAATCGATAAAATATATAAATATAAAATATTTTAAAGATTTAATGATATATAAACTATTATTGTAAAATATGTAATATTTTAATATAATAGAATATCAGAATCCCAGTTGCGACCACTCACCAGTCTGTTAAATCTGCCATTGAACCTAAGTACTTTTATACTTAATTATATTATCGTTTATAATTTTTATCTTACTCGATAATTGTTTAAGTGTTACATTTACGTAGATCATATGATATTTTCTTAAAAAAAATGTACATGACATAAAAATATAAAATCATATTATTTTCTAAATTTTGGTGATGTAATTAAGAAGAAAAACAAATTCCACTATAATTTACCCATATTTGTCCTTACGAATCTTATATTTGTTTACATATAACAAGAGAGTTTACTAGCGTTTTTTAAATTAAATAAGATTGGTTAAATTGTTTTCGTGTTTAATTCCATACGTGAAAATAAAGTTATATGTTCTATTTATTTAACTTCTATCTTTTAAATATTACAATTGATGAAATATTAACTTAATTTATGAAATTAAATAATTCTATTGTCTGTCCAACGAATAATTATCTATATAATATTAATTTTAAAATAAATTCTCCAACCCCACATTTTCATATAAAATAGTTGCTAACACTCATAAATTCACATGTATATAAAAGTGAGCACGTAACTATCTTAAAATATTATTAATAGTGGGCCCAAGCAAAGTATAGTATTTAGGAGATTGGAGGGGTTAGGTGTGAATGTGATTTGCTTAATGAAAACTAGAGTTAGAAGTGGTAATTTCCTTAGGATTGTTAATTCTTTGGCTGTTGATTGGGATTTTGCCAACAATTATGAATATTCTGAGGGTGGTAGGCTTTGGATACTGTGGGAAAAAAGCCTTTCATTCTCTGTGCTTAAGGGATGTGATCAGGCCCTTTCTGTTGTAGGTGATGTGGTTGGTGAAAAAGTTGTTGTTACTGCTGTTTATGGGAGTAACAATAGTCAGACCAGGAGAGGTTTATGGGAGCATTTAAGGTATCTGGAAGTTGATATTGGTTCTGCCTCTTGGTTGATTGGGGGGGATTTCAACACTTTTATCAGTGCTGAAGATAGTTCAGATTTTGATGTTTTGGGGTTGTATAGTACCTCTGATATGGTGGAATTCAATGATTGTCTGATGGATTTAGAAATTCATGATCATCCATTCACAGGTCCACTTTTTACCTGGTCTAACAAGCAAGAAAGTAATTTATTGGCTAGGAAGTTGGATAGAGTTTTAATTAACTCTCAATGGCTGATAGAGTTTCCTGACTCAGCTGTGGAATTTAAAGCTCAAGGGCCTTCTGATCATTGCCTAGGGACTGTTTGGACTCAGAAAAGTGCTCAGGTGAACAAGCCTAAGCCATTCAAGTTTTTTAATTGTTGGACTGCTAATGAGGATTTCTTGAGGGTTGTTAAAGACTCTTGGCAAGGACACTGTGTGGGGGACCCTATATTGATTTTGTTTACTAAGCTGGAATGTTTGAAACCACTATTAAAAAACCTCAATAGAAGTTCATTCTCTGATATTGTTGGCAGAGTAGTTGCTAAGAGAGCCGAGCTTGAAGCTATTCAAATTCATAACCTTGATCAGGTAGACCAAAAAGGTTGGATGAGGAAAATAAGATCCATGCATAATTATTATCCCTTGAAATTGCAGAATCTGGTTTTTTCAAGCAGAGAGCTAAAGTCCATTGGCTATAGGAGGGGGAATTGAACACTAAGTTTTTTCATCAGAGAGTGGAATTGAACAAGAAAAGAAACATTATCAAAGTAATTAAAGATGATAGAGGGATATATCATGAAACTTTTGAGGATATGGCAGCTGAGTTGGAAATTTTTTTCAAAAGCCTTATAGGTACTGCTGATCCTATAGTGAAGAGATGTCCTACTGACTGGTTAAAGTCTGTTCTAAATTACTCTTTACCTATTGGGGCTGAGGATATCCTAGTTAGAGTGATTACTGATGCTGAAATCAAAGATGCACTGTTCAGGCAGGGGGAAAATAAGAGCCTTGGACCTGATGGCTATGCCTCGTGGTTCTTCAAGATCACTTGGGATATAGTTAGCAATGATTTTATAGGGGTTGTAAGGTGCTTCTTCCAATCTTCATCCCTTTTACCTGCTTTTAATGCCACCTCCATTGTCTTAGTGCCTAAATCCCCTAATGCATGTATGCCCAAGGAATTTAGGCCCATTTCTTGTTGTTCTATGATTTATAAGACAATCACTAGGATCCTGGTCACTAGATTAGCTTTGTTCTTTCCTGGTATGATTTCCCCTAATCAATCAGCATTTGTTAAGGGTAGTAACATTGCTGACAATACCTTATTGGCTCAGGAAGTAGTTAGGGGATATTCTAGGAAGAACCTTTCTCCTAGATGCACAATTAAGATTGACTTGCAGAAGGCTTTTGATTCAATCTGTTGGGACTTCTTGATGAATGTTCTTGAAGCTTTGGGGCTGCTTGAGGTGTTTTGTGGTTGGATAAAAGCTTGTATTACTACCCCCAGATTCTCTATTTCTTTGAATGGTAGTTTGGTGGGGTATTTTAAAGGGGCTAGGGGGTTAGGCAGGGTGATCCCCTTTCCCCTTATCTTTTTATGATTGTGAAGAATGCACTTTCCTCACTGCTGGATGCTACTGCCAGGATTAATGTGTTTAGATTCCATCCAAAATGCAAAAAAAAAAAATCCCCTCACTCACCTCTGTTTTGTTGATGACCTCCTTTTGTTATGTCATGGATCATTGGATTCTGTGATGGGGGTGATTAGTATCTTGGATAAGTTCTATGAGATTTCTGGCCTTAGATTGAATGCTATGAAGACTGAATTATTTACTTGTGGGATATCAGAATATAAAGTTGAGCTGATTCAGAGAGCCACTGGTTTTAGGATTGGTTAGCTTCCTGTTAAATACCTTGGGGTGACCTTGGTCACACGTAAGCTCACTAGCAAGGACTGCTCGGCCTTGCTGGTGAAAATTAAGGACAAAATTGATAAGTGGTCCAGCAGGAAACTCAGTTATGGGTGTAGGCTTCAGCTTGTAAAATCTGTCGTGTTCAGCTTGTTTTGTTATTATAGTAGACAATTAATACTGCCTAAGGGTGTCATTAGGGATGTTGAGAAGCTTTGTATGAGGTTATTTTGGAGAGGCAGTGACACCTCTGCTAAGGGTGCTAGAGTGAGCTGGAACCAGGTGTACTCACCTCAATCTGAGGGAGGATTGGGCTTAAGGAAGCTTGCTGACTGGAGTAAAGCATGTTGTCTAATGTTTATTAAGTGTATCCTTGCGGGGGAATAGTCACTGTGGATTGCTTGGATTAAGAGCTACTGTTTTAAGTATGTTGATTATTGGTATGTGGTTAGTAAACCTCATTTCAGCTGGATTCTCAGCAAGTTGATTAAGCTGAGGGAGGAGGCTGGGCGTTTATTTAGGCATTTGGCTAGCTTATCTCAGGTCAATGGCAGGTGGATATGGGATAGTGTCCGCGAAAGAAGTGACAAGGTTGCATGACATAGACTCATATGGTTTCCTGCTCATATCCCCAAGTTTTCTCTTGTGGCTTGGATGGTTCTGCTCGACAGGCTTCCTACTAAGGACATATTAGGCAGGTTTGGAATTGTGGTTAACAACAATTTATGTGTGTTATGTGGGGTAGGTCAAGAATCTCGCAACCATCTATTCCTTGAATGCCCCTTTGCGTCTGAGATATGGTGTGTTGTTTTGCTTGACTGTGAATTGAAGCATCAGGTGCTGGGATACTGGGATGATGAGATTCGTTGGATGGTTCTGCACTTTAAGGGAAAATCCCTCTTAGTTCATATACTCAAGCTTGCTTGGACCGGGTTTGTTTACTCTATTTGGGAGGAACGAAATCACAGGAGTTTTAGAGGAGTGTTTCGTTCAGTTGATTCTATTATAAATAGTATTAGAGAGGTGGTTCATATTAAATTGTATGGGGTTACATTAATAGTGTCGATGATGTAAATAGGCGTCTGTGCCAAAATTAGGGGCTGATATAGTGTTTGTTAATGTTTCTTGTAGCAGCTGTGCTGCTTTCTTTTGATGAATAAACTTCACTTATCGAAAAAAATAGTATTAATATATATATGTATTCTAAAATTTTATTTTTGGCCAACTCATTTAAAAAATTTATGTTATTAACATATATTTGCTCACCTTAAAAAATGTTTACAATCCCCGTACAATTTTTTTTAACATAATTCTTGAAAATCTCATTTAGGGGATTTATTTGGAGGAGCTAATTACCTAATCCAACCTAACCTTTCATGATAAAAGTAATAATTAATTAATTAAGATATTTTATTTAAATTTATTATGATATAGATTCAATAATATTTTTGGATGTTCATCAAATTAGTTAATATCGTATCAGTAGGTGTGTCATTTTTTTTACTAGAACTGATATATATATATATATATATATATATATATATATATCAATATCGATTTATTTCACAATGTTTTTTTTTAAAATGGCGTATACTGTATTTTTCAACTAAAATAATTTTTTAAAAAGAAATATAACATTAACTTTTTAAGAATGAATTATATGCCAAATAGGAATAAATAAAAGAGAGGGAATTTTGGAGGCCATACGAATTGTATAAATCTTTAAAGTTATGGATGAGTTTGCCCCACGCATATTTCAATTATCTTCAGTCTCTTGTTCTGGTGGGTCAATTTCAGTTCATTTAAACACTGATTTGATATTTGTGTGGGCCAAAAAGTGTCCATATGTAGGCCAAAAAGTGTCCATATGTAGACCTTTAAATATCGTGGGAGTATAAATAAATATATTTGATCGATTTATTAATTTTTTTGTATTTTTTTAGATCATGATTTTATAATTTATTAGGAGAAGTTCTCTTTATTTCTTTAGAGTTTTTTTTCTCCCCTCTAAGTATGATTAAAATTAGATTCTAAAATTCGGGTATTTTTTATAAATTTAAATATCATTTTAGACACTTAATTATATCCTATCAAAAAATATGGTTGTTCAAGGTTTTTCTTTTTACTTTCAATTTGATCACCCAATTTTCTTGTCATATATTAAAGTCTATTAAAAATATGTGACACATACTGCTTTTAACAATATTTTTAAATAGGTTAAAGTCTATTAAAGATTTTGTGATGCAATATATGTATAGAAATAATGATGTATCAGTTTATCGCATTAAATATTTTCTAAAAAAAATTATTTGGTATTCTTTTATTTCTAAATAAAAATTTAGATCACCGTAATCTCGTGACATCAAAAGTAACTAACAATAATTTTTTGTGTTGATTGGGATGCAATCAAATCGAACCAAATGCATGTGCATCTGAATGTGCATTAGCGTCAATGTCATAGTGGTTAAGGTCAAGGACTTTAACCATCCAAGAACCCCACAAGAAACATGTCCTTTCCCACAGCTCCAAGCTTTTTTACAATGGTTGGTTGAGCCCCAAAGCGATGAATGCACCTTTGGAAACGAAAAGGGTCCAATACCCTTCCCTTTTACGCCTTGAACCACCAAATGGGTCCATTCCCATTTGCAAGAGAAACGGAGGGTTCTAATACAATGGCTTTCACTATCATTAGCCGGATGGTTTCCTTCATCTTCACTTAAAAAGAACAAAGTGATTAGTGAAAGTTTGAAACAAACAGAGGTAACTGCTACATATTATTAATTAATAATATTACTTACATTTAATTGGAAGACCAAGATAATTACATATTCAGTGATGGACTCAAAAGGTGTTGAGGTACTATCGTACCTCCTGAAAATTTTAAATTTTTATATAATTTAAATACTTCCTATTGATGACCTAATTTCTCGCCTCCTAAATTTTTATCATAACATAAAACCATACGTAAATCCCAAAACATATCTCTTTATCATCGTCGTTAAATTTGGATAACAACGCAGGGAAGAGGGGGCCTTTGTGTTATCTGTTTGTTAATGCCATTGTTCCTCAAATCCCATGCCTTATCTCTGACATTTTTGTTTGTGCTAAGGTTGTGTGAGGATGCAAATGGGGGGCTGCTGCTAACCAGAAATTCCCTCATTAACAGATCCTTTCCCTTATCTCTCTTTCTTTCTCTCCCTTTTTACGTACAACAAATTGGGCTGTTTGGCGCAAATTGAATTTGGATGGGCTAGAAATAGTTCAAGAACTGGACCCGCATAACTTTATTTGTGATCTTTTATAACTTCGAATAGAATTAAATATTTTAATTTTATGTTTAATTTAATAATATATTAATTTTAATATAAATTCATTGAAATTTTATCTAAATTAATTAAATACCAATATTGTAAAGTCTTTGATGGGAAAGGAATTTATTAAAACATAAGAGAAAATAAATAAATAAAGGGAAAAAAGAATTCTCAAAGTTAATACGTATATAATTGATTTAACATGTATTTGTATAAAAAATATTTATAAAAATGAAAAAATATATAATTATCATTCACGGTTTCTTAAAAGTAAAATTTTATATATTAATGGAAAGATATACATTATCTTTTACCTAAATTCGTCCTCACAATGTCAATTTTCCAAAAACAGATGAAGAGTCAAACACGACAACTGTATGTGTATGTGTATGTGTATGTGTATGTGTATGTGTATGTGTATGTGTATGTGTATGTGTATGTGTATGTGTATGTGTATGTGTATGTGTATGTGTATGTGTATGTGTATGTGTATGTGTATGTGTATGTGTATGTGTATGTGTATGTGTATGTGTATGTGTATGTGTATGTGTATGTGTATGTGTATGTGTATGTGTATGTGTATGTGTATGTGTATGTGTATGTGTATGTGTATGTGTATGTGTATGTGTATGTGTATGTGTATGTGTATGTGTATGTGTATGTGTATGTGTATGTGTATGTGTATGTGTATGTGTATGTGTATGTATATGTGTATGTGTATGTGTATGTGTATGTGTATGTGTATGTGTATGTGTATGTGTATGTGTATGTGTATGTGTATGTGTATGTGTATGTGTATGTGTATGTGTATGTGTATGTGTATGTGTATGTGTATGTGTATGTGTATGTGTATGTGTATATGTATGTGTATGTATGTGTATGTGTATGTGTATGTGTATGTGTATGTGTATGTGTATGTGTATGTGTATGTGTATGTGTATGTGTATGTGTATGTGTATGTGTATGTGTATGTGTATGTGTATGTGTATGTGTATGTGTATGTGTATGTGTATGTGTATGTGTATGTGTATGTGTATGTGTATGTGTATGTGTATGTGTATGTGTATGTGTATGTGTATGTGTATGTGTATATGCTACCAATTGATAGTCCTCAATGTTTTTTCTCTTATCCTATCGGTTCTCAAGACTTCGTCTTAATTAATTTGAATTAACATATATTATACACCTAATTTTAGAAGGTGGGTCTACTAAGAAGATTTTATGCATATACAAAAACTTAAACTTAAGATTACTTAAATAATATCAAGTTGTTTACCACTTGAACCCACGTTAATTTCCTCAATGTTTTGAAACAATGTATTATAAAAAAAATTTGTCACCTAATAATTAAGATTCTAACTTTGTACTATATATAAATGTATTTTGAATGATTTTTAATTTATTTATTATGTGAATTTGTTTAACGTATTTAATGATTAAAAGTGATATTATTCTTCTAGAGGTTTTGAAATTTGAGCAACTATGTTTGTATGGTATGTTGATCAGATATTACTTCAAATCATCTCATACTATTAAAAAAATATTTATTATGTATAATATATTATTTTTAATAAAGTATATAATAAAAAATTATATTTTTTTTAAAATAAGTCATTTAATTTAATTTTTATTATTTATTATAATTTAATTCTTTCACCTATATAAACCATGGCGAATGCACGTCTATGTTACTGTGATCACTTTTCCATCCTAAATTTCGAATTTTCTTTAAGTAATTATTTATTTTATTAATCATGCACACCCTAAAATTTTATTTATATCACGTATACAAAAAAATTGTGTGATTAATATATATGTGTCAATTTAAAAGTTATTCCCCAATCCACTAATATATATATAAAATACAAACCAACAAGACCAACTTACCTCAGTGGTTAAAGGAATCATTGTTGTTCTTAGAGATTATGAGTTCGAGTACCAGCGCTTGCAAGTATAATTTGAAAGTATATAGAACATATATTACTTTATAATAATCACCTTAACTTAATCTATCTATTTATATAATATAAACCTCTATTGCATTAAAAGTAGCATCATCCTTTTCTTTTCCTTTCTTTTTTCAAAGAAAATCCATTGTTTTCATTTATCCATATATTTTGTTACATTGACTTTATTTATTCATGGGCATATAGTATTCGTTTCATCGAGGTTTAAACATTAACGAAAGGGTAAATTTCATATCTAAAGTTGCAGCTGCCACCAACGACTCTACCACCTTCTTTTCCATCACAGCAACTCGGAAGTTCGCCGATTATGCCGTCGAGACACTTTTTACACTCACTCCTAGAAAGATCCCTCGTGCACTGAGTCAACCCGTAAAGCTTCTCCGATCCGTACAGCTCCTTCTCCCCGACGGCATACATTTTGGAATTGGCATAAGCTTGATTAGCCAACTCAGTGAGCAGCCCCTTGGTCTTCTCATTGAAGGCCTGGAGTTCACTCACGCTATTCAAGTTCCACATGTAGAACCTATTCCGGTTATCAATCTGGCCAAAGAACTCGACGTTCGAATACTTGAAAAGACAGTTATCGTACCAGATGATTCCACCTTTGTTGTAAGGACATCGCTTTCGTATCTCGCCGCCTGCTTCGACGACACAGGTTTTACAATCTTGGCTCGACACGTCGCCTCTGCAAAGTGCGAGGCCATACGCTTGGTTCGGGTATTTACCTATGGAACCGAGGCCGAACCCCGAGGGAGGAGCTTGAATGGAGAGATAGCCAGATAGCTTGTCTAAGTTGGATTCATAAGGATCATCGGCGGAGAAATTCCCCGTGTCTGAACAAAAATGGAAGAGAGGGCCAGCTCCCAAAGCTGTTT